CCCTAGCCAGCCCCACTAGGCATGGAAACTGTGCTGAGCAGCTCAAACAGGCAAGCCCCATGAAACAACCCTATTTTTGCGAAATAGGGTTTCACGACTGTGGATTGGTTTGCAGCCTTGTTGATGTTGTCTCAGGCCCTAGCCAGCCCAAGTAGGTCAGGAAACTGCGCCTTGCAGCTCAATTAAACATAGACCACCCCCCCCTCAAGAGAACACTTTTTTTTCAAAGGCTTTGGAGCCACCCACCCGCTCACTCGTGCCAGCCAAGCACAAGCAAACCCCGATCAGCCACGTCCCTCCCAAGGGGTGCGTGTGCTGGTTGGGTCAAGAAGACAGATAGACAGACAGACAGAGAGACAGAGAGACAGCCCACCCAGCCAGCCTGCCAGGAGCCAGGCAGGCAGACGAGGTGACTGAAATTATTCAAATTAAACGAGGCGAGGTGAATAATTTCAAAACATTGAATTAAGACGAGGTACGAGGTGAACGAAATTAATGAAATTAGTTTAATTCACCCAGATCCATTCCACACCCCAGGGTTTGGTGATTCACTCCTTCATCAACCGTGCGGACGTGGTGCTGGGCTCAGAGCGACCGGAGACCGACCGAAAAACGGAGGACGACCGAAAAACCGCCAGGTCCCTCGAGCGAGCCTGGCCAACGTGTTCCACCTCGGCAGCCGGGCGAAAGGGCCGTTGTTGGTGGTCTAAACAGGTGCCACGGAGGACTGGTTTGGGCACCATTTCCTTTAATCTCCCAGACAAGATGAAGATGAGTAATTCACAGCCACGGTTTGATTCGCCACACTGTTTGTGGCTTTCTTGGATATTGAGGGGTGCAGAAAAGCGATACAAAATGATACAACAATAATCAACAAGGTATATTAATATCTATATATACATAATAGAGATTGTTTAAAGATCTTTAAAGTTCACTTCTGAGCTGTTTGATCAAGCCGTAAATATATTTTTTTTGAGGCTTGGAAGCTATGGCCGTTGATGGGCTCGACCTGGATTTCCAACATCGCTTCAATTTGATGCGAAGAGATGCCTCTCCTGAGAATGAAGAGGAAAACAAGGCTCCGTCCATCACCATCACCATTTCAGTTCTTTTTTATGCAAGAATCGCTTCGATCTCATCCGCCATTGACCTTGCAACGTGAAAAAGAAGCTGCACACGTTCCGTGCTCCGTCCTTCGTTCCGTTGGACTTCGCATCCCCTCCAGGCCAAGAAGAGGATCGTGGAGGCGGTGAAGGAGTGTCAGGAAGCTCGACATGCGAAGCCTCACGAGTCGGGGAGCCTCACCGAGGGCGACCGAGGTCGGCGGCCGCGAGCGAGACACGTGAGACACGGTGAGAGCCTCACGTCCGGAAGAGGTGAAAGAGCCGAAGCAAACACTAAGGTTCAATTGTATGGTTCAATATGGTTCAATAAGGTGTGGTTGTTTGTGTGTGTGTGTGTTTTTCTTTGTTCTTTTTTTTCAGGCGGTTACAGTTCCTGACTTACTGTACTTGTACCAGCTTGTACCACCGACTCCGACTATCAAGGGGTTCTGTGATATTGTGAGAGTGTGTGTGTGTGTGTCGTTGTTTTTTGCGCAACTTGCAAGGTCATTTCCGCCCTTGTTTGTTGCTGGCCAGGCACGCAAGACGAAAAACTTGTAGCGTCTGGTAGCCAGAACACAGCCAATTCAGATGATGAGGAGGTCGTGACGCGAATTCTGCCAGGTGTACTGGATCGAATGGCTTGGTCAAGAAGGAAGTGTGCAGGACCAAACAGAAAGCGAGAAACTGTACAGTGGTTTCGGAGTATATATAGATGGCACAAACCAGAGTAGATGGCTTTAACCATGCACAGACCATAGTGGGGTCCATATTAACCACCAACATTGGGGTAACTTGTGCCATCGAACCTCTGAAACCACGGTCATTTTCAGCTGACAAATCCACCTGAAGACCATGGTCTAAGGCTTTCCAAGTCAGCTGTGTGGTGCTACCATTGCTATCAGGATGCAAAGAATGACACCGCAGAGAGGGCGCCAAGGACACCAGCGGTGGCTTAAGCGCTCCTGCTTCTAGGGAGAAGCGCTGCTATGACGAGCTCCCAAATGTTCAAATCACCCCAGAAAGCTTTGAAACCCAAAAGCCGTGGTGAAAGTTCCAGAAAGAACCTCCATCCACCACTCAAGAGTGGCTGGCGTGGTGTTGGTCGGCAAACGGGGACACAACATCACATCCAAATCCGTTTTCCGCACGAAAAAGCAAGATCAAAAGCCCAAAACTGTCAGCCTTGGAGCTTCCATCCGGGGGTGACAACACAGCGCTCGGCAGGATCCACCTGTCGTCCGCCAGGGCCTTTCAGTGTCTCCCACGGAGCTTGACGCGTAAACCGCGGCGTTGAGACGTGGCGTTGAGACGCGCCGCACGAGTCGGGGATGGACTTCGAGACCAGTTTGGAAGTCGGAGACCTCAAAAAATACCCGTCCATAGTCACTACAGCAGTCACTACAGGGCTTCTTTAGGTGACTAAAAGACCGAAATGGAGAGCAGACCGATGTGGGCAGCCAGGGCTTTGCTGATGCGGGGAGGCACCAACGCGCTGAAAGATCATTTGTCAGAAGCTTAGCGTCCTCAGACCTTCAACAAATACATGCAACCGGCAACAAGTAGATGCTGCTGCTGTTGAAGCAAACAATTCTAATACAGCTACTCATCCATGAAAGATCCTGGAACGATTTGGTGCTCGTATTGTCATAGCTGTCATGGTGTCATAGAACAGGACAGGGGGTCCGACCGAGACGTAAGGGGTGACCACTGAGGGTGGCCACTGTAGAGAAACAAATCTCATACTGTTGCAGGTGTGGAGGCTACAAAGAAGGCCTCGAAGGCTACAAGAATCACCTGAAGGCGCATTCAGTTCCGAGCGTTTCTACAAACATGGACAGCGAGCATCAACATGCTCCAGCAGAGAGGGCAAGCTGTTCTCAACATGCAGGCCAGTGGAGGGTGCAACTGCACAATAGCTTGATTGCCAGCAAAGTTCTGAGAAGAGCGAACTGAAAGACTGACCAGCAGAAATCAGGAAAAAGGCGATTTGACATCACAGCTATCCACTGTGCGGCTATAGTGACTATGGCTCAACTCCCCTTCGCTCACTGGGCTCAAGAACACCCAACGCGGCTGGTCTCCTTTAGTCATGTCCTCAAAGCAGCATCGCAATTGAAATATTATGTATTTGTCTAACCTATGTCTTTAATATTTTCTATAAATGAAAGAATTTAAACTATATAATATGTTCTACAATGTTCTACATATATGGTATTGGAAAATTATCGATATGTCCATAATGTGTTTAGCGATTCATTTGTTTTTCCTTCGAATAGAAATAGACGATTATTCGATATTTGTTATATCTCGATGTTATTTATTAATTAATTTCTGTATATGAATTTTGATTTAATTAGCCCAGCTGGAGACCCCAATAGCAAGATACAAACCGGGACAAAAAACAACATCTGGAAACAACTGCTGTTTTCAACACATCGACCATCTCTTACCTGGACCCATCATCACATAACCGGGCCACCATCACAACATGACCGGGGCACCATCAAAACATGACCGGGGCACCATCCCAACATGACATGACCGGGACACCGTCAAAACACGCCCGGCACCCCATCACAACACGACCGGCACACCAGTCACAACATGACCGGGACACCATCAAAACATGACCGGGACATCACAACATGACCGGGACACCATCACAACACGACCGGGACACCAGATCACATGACAGGGACACCACAAAATGACAGGGACACTATCACAACATGACCGGGACACCAGCACAACACGACCGGGACACCATCACAACATGACCG